AAATGTCTTGCATGCAAAGAAACAAAACTTTTCAAAAACAGGGTTTTTTTGTGTGTACGTGATGACTGCTCCCATGACGGGCTGAGTGCCCATCTGTACAACACTTGTGAAAGAATCTCCCATAGAGTGGCTGGATATTAAATTCCAGGTTTTTTTATTAAAACATGTAGCATTACATGTTAGAGAAGACTGATTAACAAAAAGACTTTGTGTATGTCAAGAAACAGCATTTCTGCATGGACTATTTGAGGAAATAGCTCAGTGTTAGCCACTCTTCCAACATCAAAATATGTGCAGTAGACTTAACAAATGGGGTTTTTTGCTAGATTATGTGGAATGTGTGCATGGGGATGGAGTTGTTTGGTTTTTTTAGTTGTTAAAAATAATCTCTGCCCCCAATCCACTGTGCTTCAGTCTGCTGGTTCTAGTCACCTCCTGAATTGCACCCTGAGGCGTTGCTAGTAGTGTGTATTAAGGACAATCAAGCAATGGAACATTGAGGTTTTGGGGATCACATGAATCCATTTGATAGAATCCATATAGCCAAAACTATCTTGAAATGATAGTTATTGTGAAGTAGCTAAACATTGTACCATAAATCATCCTTGACACTTTTAGGGCCCATAAAGGACTGCAAATTTTCTTTTTTTAGCATGTAAGTGTCAAAACAGTGCCAATGCAATTTCTTTATTTCATCACTAAGTAGTATGTCTTTTTAGAATTCACAGAAATAGAAAATTTTTATTTGGTCTCAATATCTGTGTTCTTATCTCTGTCTTGGTCTATAAAAATACAGAAATCTAGCTAGAAGGGGGAGATACCAGTGCTGAAATACTTCTACCAAGCTGAAAATTCTGATAAAAAAGCAGACTTTAACAGCACTACATGGGTGAAAAGAAACTGAGGGCTGAAAGCCTGTTTATTTTGTAGCTGAAAGTTTGTGCTTGCAGCATAGGACACTAAGGACAAAATAAATTTTTTCTTCTTTCTCCCTTGCAGGGTATAGATAGCTGCAGCAGCTTATGGCTTTCTAACTCTTGGTTTCTTTCAGTTAGTGGCACGAAGGGTTTGTCTGTAAATGACTTTTTGTCTGGTTTGGAGAATTCAGGATGGTTGCGTCATATCAAAGCTGTGTTGGATGCTGCTGTCTTCCTAGTCAAGGTAACTGGTATGCTGCTGCTTTGGTTGGTGGCAAGTTGACTTGCTATGGGGCAAAATTGTACTTAATAATATGATGTGTAAAATTCTGCTGTTGACCTTCTGAGAAGTAGAGGCTGAGTATACCCTGGTTCATCTGATACACTGTTTTAAGTATTACACGTTTCTTTGACTGGAAAAGTTAAATATGCCAGCTAATGCTTTGGCATTTTTTTGTTGTTGTTTGCTCACCTTATTGGGAGATGAAGGGGTTCTTATGCTTCCTAGTTCTTTTAGGGGTTTACAAAAGGTGTGACTGGTTTGGAAGTGCATGGAGTAAACTGCTATTCAGTGTACCCTGAAAAACAATTCCTGCGGCACTAATTGCAGAGAAGCCAAATTGTCTATGCTTACTTCATCTGGCAAGGGAATGGGACTCTTTTTTTGAAGAATTCCAAGGAATAAATGCCTTTGCCAGGCACCTGTGAGGACAAGGGCTTGACCTGAGTGGGGCTGGGTGAAGAAAAAAACTGTGTGTTTGGGTTTTTTTTGTACTAGGTGAAATAAGGAGTTACCTTTTAGGTAAAAATGAATTATTCCCCTCAAAAACATTTGGACTAACAGGAGTTAAATTTTTAGCTGAAACTAATAAGCATTTCCTAGTCCTTAACTGTTGTATAGTATGATATTGAACAAGTAGGTATCTTTAATGGTCTGTTTGTGTTTATTTTTTTAACCTGTTCGGTCTGTGATGTATAATCTACTTCTTTCATGGTATGCATCACAAGGGGCTTTTACAAGCTTGGCTTCATAAGGTGTAGAAGAATAACTGGGAACCACTGTAGATATTCTAGTTACCTTGTGCAAAGGTGGTAGTGGTGATGTTTCTTACATTTAGGAGCAAACTTTTATACTCCCATGGAGAGAAATTCCTAGCTTTCTGATGGTTTCAAATCCTTCTGTCATAATAAACATTTTTCTGGCTTTGTTAAATAAAATGGTCTATACTGTGAATTTGGGATAAACATAGTTATTTTACTTATTTACTCATTTTTTATTTCAGTGCAGAATAGAACATTGACTACAAGGCAACTTTGTTTTGCAGGCAATAGCAGTTGAGAGTGCAAGCGTATTGGTGCACTGCTCAGATGGCTGGGATAGGACTTCCCAAGTTTGTTCTCTTGGAGCTCTCTTACTGGATTCTTATTACAGAACAATCAAAGGATTCATGGTAAGCTGGGTGTTGCATTGCTGTAATATTCTTTAGTAAACAAAGGATGTAAATTGTGAAAGTGAGCAGTGTTAATGTACTGAGGTTTAATTTTTGGAGTTATAAATGTAAGATTTGCAGTCTACTGATATCTTTCTTTCAGAACTACTTTTCTGCTGGGAAGAGCCATTTATTTAAAATATAAAAACTGAAATACAAATAATACGTTGCTTTAGGCACCCTACAGAAATGCAAGGATTGCCTTTTGCATCCAAAAAAGCCCCTTGCCTATGAAATACAAAGATTCCAAAGTGCTTCTGTGAGATGGTAGGTGTACAAAATTAGAGCATCTCTGTGCTTTTATCACTTGTCCCAATGTCAACATTATTAAAATTTAAAAATTATTACTCCCTCAGTGATGCAAACCTGAAGGTATTCAGGCAATCTGAATTTCTTCATCTTCCTATAGAGAGGAAGAGGATTTTTGGTATGATTATTCCAAATTTTAGGGGAGGAAAATCAACAGTATTCTACAGTGGTGATACAGGGTGTTATGGGACCTCCTGAAAGACAGTACATAAAACTAGTTCCATGTATTGGTTAAAACTAACTGCCACAAATATTACAAGCAATAAAAGTGAAGTTGAGGAGGATTTAGAAGACAATGCATTTCTTACGAATAGTGAAAATGTGTGTAATCTTTAGGGAAGTGATAAAACAAGCTAGTGATAACACTAACAAAGTTGTTTCTTATAAAATGTTACAAAGATTACATAATGTGGTTTCTATGTAAGCTATGATA